GGTCATAATTATATGAAGATCCTAACTATAATATCCTCCCTAGCTAACAAGAGGGTTGGTAGGCTTGTCTTTAGAATGAATATATATATATATATATATATATATATAATAGTAGTTCTTCACGCATCCGGACATACCATGGGGATGCTATAAACAGAAAGGATAATATTAATAAGGAGGATAGTAAAAAATACATAATGTTCACACGATAATAATATCCGAACGTCCACATAAAAGAAAATTTGTATATAATAGGTATATATTTCCTGCACTTGATTCATATGATTGGGAGTACTGTATGCTCCTCACATGGAGCTAGATGTGTTAAATAACTATTTCTCTGTAGCTCTCATGTGGATCTAATTGGTGGTGGGGTCAATCTTTTTATTTGTTGTCAAAATGCAACAAGTTGGGTAAGATTTTTTAGATCTCTCGCTGGCAGTGTGTTTATCATAATTTCACAAACTAGGAGAGGCAGGAAAGAAATATATAGGCACAAATAGGACCACTTTTGAAAAAGTACCGCCCAATTCTTGCTACTTGCTAGCAACTTCATTGTTTGACCGAATGTGTTGGGTTAGTGGAACTTCCCCAATTGGTTCACACTTCACAAAATCATGAGAAAAAACTAATAATATTACAATATATTTTCCACAGTAAACCTGGTCTCCAAAGCTCAGGTCCACGAAATCTAATTAGAAGGACCGACCTCCATCCAAGTGAATATTATCTTTAGCCCAAAAAAAATAAATTATAAATATACAAAATGAAAACGACAGCCAAAATTAAAATTGGGCTAAAAAATCCCCATGAAACCTAAACTGGATAGACTTATATATATATATATATATATATATATATAACAAGATATCTATCCACTTTGGATATCATATGTGAATTTATCTGAAATATCCACTCCTATATATATATATATATATATATATATATATATATATATATATATATATATATATATATATATATATATATATATATATATATATATATATATATATATATATATATATATATATATATATATATATATATATATATATATATATATATATATATATATATATATATATATATATATATATATATATATATATATATATATATATATATATATATATATATATATATATATATATAAGGAGCTTCAGTTGAGGGATTCCTCAAATAAGTTTATTTGAAGTACACCTTTATAGAGCCCACTTTGTATTATATTTCACTAATCCAAACCGTCTATTTTGTAAATATGCATTCAAAGATCATCTCTACAAAAAAATCACTTGAATCTGATATCATTTGACCACTGAATTGAAATATTGAAATTTTAATACTCTATTGAAGGACCGTGTTCACTGATTTTGTATGACACAATTGGATGTCGAAACGGTTTCCAATTTGCCTAATTTTTTACAAGGATGATCTATGAATGTAAACTTAAAAAATAGATGGTTTGGATCGTTGAAAAAACATTGTGGGGGATCCCTCAATAGAAGGGGATTGATATGTATATATATAGGGAGTTTCAATTGAGAGATCCCTTAAATATGCTTATTTGATGAACACCCTTATAGGACCCAGAAGACCTCTAATTAAGTTCATTGCACGCTAAGTAGTGCATGTCCTAATTAATACTCACAGGCTGAGAGTTGACATTTAAAACCTAATTAAGTTCATTGCATGCTAAGTAGTGCATGTCCTTTTAATACTCATGTTTATAAGTTTTGACAAGTAGCTAGCCAAAACAGTGTATAACCACAAATAAATATCTAGGCGTACACATTAGTTCATATTATATATGCAGAAACCTAAGAAACAATTGAGTAAGCACATCATGCAGCGATATCCTCCATTGGTTTTGATATTTACTATTTACTATTTACTATTTACTATTTACTATTTACTATTTACTATTTACTATTTACTATTTACTATTTACTATTTACTATTTACTATTTACTATTTACTATTTACTATTTACTATTTACTATTTACTATTTACTATTTACTATTTACTATTTACTATTTACTATTTACTATTTACTATTTACTATTTACTATTTACTATTTACTATTTACTATTTACTATTTACTATTTACTATTTACTATTTACTATTTACTATTTACTATTTACTATTTACTATTTACTATTTACTATTTACTATTTACTATTTACTATTTACTATTTACTATTTACTATTTACTATTTACTATTTACTATTTACTATTTACTATTTACTATTTACTATTTACTATTTACTATTTACTATTTACTATTTACTATTTACTATTTACTATTTACTATTTACTATTTACTATTTACTATTTACTATTTACTATTTACTATTTACTATTTACTATTTACTATTTACTATTTACTATTTACTATTTACTATTTTATTTTGTGTGGGGTATGATTGTACTGGATTGGACTGTGTCGTATATAGTAAATGAATTATGTTGGGGGTGGGGGGGTAATTCGTATCTTTTGTATTAGGCTTGGAGATTCTGCATTTCTGCTTCCCCAGATTCATTCATATGATCATATACACAACGCGGGGCCTCCATAGGCTTCCCATACTTCACACTTAGTTACAAGAAACTTACCACTTATGCCATATAACATTATTGCTTCATCAATATATAGGGGAAATAATTAATTACATTATTGGAATCTCATAGTGTTGAATTTTGATTTTGGTGAAACCCAATCTGAAGCCAAAGGAAAACTTCTATGTATCGGGAATATATCATCGCTCTCTTTCTAACTTATCACTTGTCACACAGGTTACATTTCCAGAATAGATAAGTTCATTTTCAAAAGTGGTACCTAATAAGTGATCAAAGAAATGTTTTCCTTTTTAAATAAGAAAGATTATGTCATTATTATCTAAATCTGACATGTTGTTTTTGGTTGTTGAAGAACTCCGTTCTTCTTTTTTGGTCGAAGAACTCCGTTGATAGAGAAAACAAACACAAAAATTTGGCAAACCCAAAACCAAAAAGTATGGCCCATGCCAACACAGGTTATACAAAGGGCGGTCACCAGTCACCAACTTTTTGAACAAATTTGCCACCCTGCCGATTTAGCAGATGAGGTTCCCGGTGTGCATTGTGTTAGGTTTCCTTTCTTCTTTTTCATTTTTATCCTGTTTTTTCAATTTAGAAGGATAAACTTCATCAAAACTTTCAGAGCCAAAAATTCAGAAGTTGAGTGGCTAGAGATAGAGAGAACATTGCAGTAATCTTTTATTCCTCCATTATAAAACATAGTTATCAAAATCTCGTTGTATATGTTGTCGGACTATGAATGAAATTCTCGATGTATATGTTGTTAGACTTTGAATTAAATTCTTGATTTACAAGATACAAGATAGAATTATGGGCTCATTTGATATTTGCTTTGAAGAAATTCTTTAAAACTTCATAGGGCACTCTACTGGTAGGCTAACGTCTCGTCCCAGTCTGAGACCCCCACCCCCAACCCCCAGTAGCAGCAGAACACAGTTACACAACATAAGTAGGTAAAAGAAGGAAGCAGGTCAACGCTTTCCCCCAATAGCATGACGTCATCGTCCACGTCATCCTGCAGACCTGTCCCATCTCTTCTCTGCTCTCTGGGCCCCACCTTCCCATCCTCCCTCCTCCCTCCTCCCTCTTCTCTCTTTAAGTACCCCTGCAAAGTCCCAGCCTTCCAGCCCACGTTCATAAATTTCATCTTTCACTCCTGCACTCCACTCATCAAAAATCTCCCAAACCCTTCCTAAAACCCTAAACCCACGCGCTAATGTACGGACACAACAGCACCGCATTCCCACGCGCCGCCGACTTCCAGTTCCAGGGCTCGCCACCGGCTCACCCGTTGCTTTATCATGAGCAGCTGCTCGTCTCAGCTGAGTTCAGCAACAGCTGCAGCAGCTGCTCCAGCAGCTACGGCGCCTCCCCGATCAGCAGCGGGACTGGTGGTGGTGCTACGCTGATTCAGCGCAGCGTCAGCAGCCATTCGCTCCAGAAGACCTCTTGCGGGACCCACAGGCTGGTCTCCGACTTGCTCGAGTCAGAGACCGGCCCCGTCCGCAGGGTTTACAGCACCGGAGACTTGGATTTGCAGGTTCGATATGTACAGAGAGTTAGTTAATTTAGTTACTTCAACTAAAGTGACTCAAATGCCCACATTAATTAATTTCTTTCTCTACCATTTCACACCCTCACAAATACGCATAAAAACTAATCACAATGCAAAATCAAGTTTTAGGTGCATGAGAGTGATTTAACAATATGTTGTACGATAAATGTTTATATTAGTCGTAGCAACAATTAACATAATCAATAGTTTGTATATATGCTAACGGACTTCGACACATACATACAAAATTTGATATGATGTGAATAGTTCAAATTTAGTGTGTATGATCCTACAATCAGACAAAAATTAACATGATTAATACTTTAGAAAATTCTTCAAACAGTGCAACGAGATAACATTTGTGCGATTTTGCTTCCCAAATATTGCCGACAAAAGTTAGCATAATTAGTAGTTTAAAATATTCTTAAAACAGTTTGACAAAATAACATTTACGCGATTTTACTTCCTAAATATTACTTGTGGGGTTGTTGAGTTTGAGTGGAATTATTTGTGTTTTGTGCCATAATATATATTGTGGATGCATGCAGCTGATAAATAATGTGAACAATGGAATGCCACAGCAATTGCAATATTGTAGTTACAATAGATCATCATCAGAAACTAGTCCCTTGTCGAGTGAGAGCAGTATGATCATAGAAGGGATGAGCAAAGCCTGTCGATATAATCCCGAGGAGAAGAAAGAGAGAATTGAGAGGTATAGAAACAAGCGCAACCTCAGGAACTTCAACAAGACCATTAAGGTTACTTCAATTATTTATTTATTTTTTTATTTATTTGCTTCAATATTATATATATATTTTTTAATTTGCTTCAAAATATAATAGATCATTCGAATTTTTTTGACTAGTTGCTGCTTGACCCGATGACCCACTAGCTGGCTCTACTTTAAGCTTTATGGCATGAGTGTGTATATAGTTATCTTGTTGCTTTTTGGCCCACAATTGCTCACATCAATTATATTTTTATGTAAAATTTTTGCTTACTATATATATCATTCCAAGCTTTAGTGTGTGTCACATCCTACATTGCTTTTATTTCATTTTCAACTAGTAAAAGATATACTAGTGCACGTTTGACATACACGCTGTTGATAGTTTTAGTGGTCTTTTGGATACAATAGAATAGCTATAGCTAGCTCCACAATTGTTTGAAAAATTGGAGATGAAATGACATTCTATCTGTGCAGTTGAATGATTTATGCAAGGAAATTGTTATACCTGGAGTCAATTAATTGTTCGTTACTGATCCGTATAATAGTTAGAATTCGTACTCCGTTTTAACTTCTTTAATTTCATTTCAATGTGTAATGTGGGAAAGAAATATAGAATACTTATTTTGAAGTACAGAAAGTTACGTGAAGAATGCTAATGATATATATTACTAACACCGACTGTATGTTGTGATTTTTCACGAGGGTTGTCACTATCTATGGTATGTGATGCAATTGAGTAAGTTAATTCCAATTTAGATCAATATTCTTTAATTATCACATAAAATTTTAATTATATCGACAATCCAAATTTTTTTTACCTTTCTGCTGGTTAATGTCTTTTTAATTATGTAATGATTAACTAATCCTGTTTGCAGATCAACTTTCACTCCATCTTTATGTCTATGCAGGTCGTAATAACAGACGTTCAACCTTCTATTGTCTTACCCTTTGGACGTCTGTTTGAAATTGTAAACTTTCCCAAGAGAGAGTGGTACATCAATTTTGGTTTTTTGCACTAGTGCTAGATCAATTAACTTCTTCTACTTGGAAACTAACTCTGAATTGCAAAAGCATGAACCCCCTTTTGATTGAATAATAAATTGACCAAACAGCCACACAAAATGTTCTGGTAACTTGTAATGTGTCTCAACCACTTCTCATGATCATGACAAGTCCTTGTTTCCTTAAGAAATGGGTATTGGTTGTCATTTCAATGTGTAACGTGCGAAAGAAATATAGAATACTTATTTTGAAGTACAGAAAGTTACGTGAAGAATGCTAATGATATATATTACTAACACCGACTGTATGTTGTGATTTTTCACGAGGGTTGTCACTATCTATGGTATGTGATGCAATTGAGTAAGTTAATTCCAATTTAGATCAATATTCTTTAATTATCACATAAAATTTTAATTATATCGACAATCCAAATTTTTTTTACCTTTCTGCTGGTTAATGTCTTTTTAATTATGTAATGATTAACTAATCCTGTTTGCAGATCAACTTTCACTCCATCTTTATGTCTATGCAGGTCGTAATAACAGACGTTCAACCTTCTATTGTCTTACCCTTTGGACGTCTGTTTGAAATTGTAAACTTTCCCAAGAGAGAGTGGTACATCAATTTTGGTTTTTTGCACTAGTGCTAGATCAATTAACTTCTTCTATTTGGAAACTAACTCTGAATTGCAAAAGCATGAACCCCCTTTTGATTGAATAATAAATTGACCAAACAGCCACACAAAATGTTCTGGTAACTTGTAATGTGTCTCAACCACTTCTCATGATCATGACAAGTCCTTGTTTCCTTAAGAAATGGGTATTGGTTGTCATAAAGAATAATATATGTCAAATGATAGTAGTAATATAGAACCATGCTACTTTTGTATTTATGTCAGTGCATTTCATCCTGAACTTTTTCTTTTACCCTTTCTTATACAAGCACTAATATAGCATTCCTGAATTCAGTATGCTTGCCGGAAGACGTTGGCGGACAGCCGGCCGCGCATCAGAGGACGATTTGCAAGGAATGACGAAATTGAGAAGAACTCTCCTGTTCAGTGGAGTCACATAAGTGGGGAGGAGTCTCCTGTTCAGTGGAGTCGCATAAGTGGGGAGGAAGACGAGGAGGACGACGACAGTTGGATCAACCTTCTGGATGCATTCTCTTCGATTGAATCTAATTCCATGATCTAGTATAACATAAAGGACCACTCTATGTGTCATGTTTTAGCAAGTAGCTAGGAAAATTTTAGGCTGCTTGGTTTGAACTTTAATTATTATTGTTATTACTATTATTATGCAGAATGCCGCACTTTAAGCGCTATTTAGCTTGAAGTAGGTGATGTAAATATAGGTGATTTGGAATGACAATGTGCAATTTTTAATTAAGACTTTAAATAATCAAGGGTTAAGTTTTAGATTTGCCTAATTTGGCTTTATATGAGGTCATGTTCAAGCTTTACTTTAGTGACTACTGATTGGAAAAAGATGAAAACAAAGTCATTTCATTGAAAAAGAAGAGGAAAAAAGAGTTGATTAAATAGGCATATCGTAACGAGTCATTCTATGGTGAGGGTGTCATATATGGATCATAGATGTGGACCTTTATATTAGCCACATGATTCATCTGAAGTAACTTCACTTAAGTTTAATGAAATGATCTTATGGCTAATATGAAGGTCCACATGAGAGATCCATATATGGCACCCTCATTATAGAATTTCGCATGTGATAACAGTCACCATCTTAAGTGTCAATATGAGATAGAGCCCATCGAGTTATATGCAGCCTATATATTCAAACTTCAAAGTAGCACAAATTTTTGTGCTTTTCTATATTTTCTTTCCTTGAGGTCATATATTTATAGGATGTTCTGTAAAGCCTAAATGCTAGGACCTCAGTTCTTAACTATATGGTGCTACAGAGTAAAGTGGGTCGCAAGTTACCTGTTGGCCATTGCCAAGTTTTGATATTGACATGTAGGGGCATGCCGGGTGTATATCGGTTCGAAACCAATACAATTTATTTAATCCACATCTGATTCAATATAGATTGGATTGTGATTTTTTCAATCCGATATCCAATCATATTAGATGTTTAAATCCAATCCAATCATATTACTATTATTATGCAGAATGCCACACTTAAGTGCTATTTAGCTTGAAGTAGGTGATGTAAATATAAGTGATTTGGAATGACAATGTGGATTTTTTAATTAAGACTTTAATTAATCGAGGGTTGAGCCTTAGATTTGCCTAATTTGGCTTTACATGAGGTCGTGTTCAAGCTTTACTTTAGTGACTACTGATTGGAAAAAGATGAAAACAAAGTCATTTCATTGAAAAAGAAGAGGGAAAAAGAACTGATTAAATAGGCATATGGTGAGGGTGTCATATATGGATCATAGATGTGGACCTTTATATTAGCTACAGGATTCATTTGAATGGTAACTTCACTTAAGTTTAATGAAATGATCTTATGGCTAATATAAAGGTCCACATGAAAGGTCCATATATGACACCCTCACTATAGAATTTTGCATGTGATAACAGTCACCATTTTAAGTGTGAATATGCAATAGAGCCCATCAAGTTATATGCAGCCTATATGTTCAAACTTCTAAGTAGCACAAATTTTTGTGCTTTTCTATATTTTCTTTCCTTAAGGTCATCTATTTATAGGATGTTCTGTAAAGCTTAAATGCTAGGACCTCGTTTCTTAACTATATGGTGCTGCAAAGTAAAGTGGGGCGCAAGTTACCTATTGGCCACAGCCAAGTTTTCATATTGACATGTAAGGGCATGCCAGGTGTATATTGGTTTGAAACCAATATAATTTAGTCAATCCATATTCGATCCAATATAGATTGGATCATGATTTTTTCAATCCGATCTAATCATATTATCTATTTAAATTCAATACGATATGATCCAATTGATATTAGATTGGATTAGATCGGATGATTAGGTTTGATAATGGAAAAAGAGTAATGATATATTAAACATTTATCCTTAGGTTTAATCTAACCAAACATATTAATAGACGTAAATGTAAAATATAAATGAAATACTAGAGAAATTTTTTTTGATTATATAATACATTAAACATAACTCCATTAAATGACTTTAAATATTCATAACTTTTCAACTACAAATACCTAAAGAGCAAAATAAGCATAAAACTAACTAGATTGGATTGGATTCTCATTAGCAAATCCGTCATCCGATCCAATCATGTCGGTTTTCAAAAGAGTAATGCTACACTTACCACATTTTTATCCCACATTTCTATACCACATGATGTGGCATGTCCATATTATATGCCACATCAATTAAATTAATGAAGTGTATTTTAATTAAGACAATTAGAAAAACAAATACTGGAATAAATCATAAAAGAAAAGAAAATATTAAATAATTTTAATTGATGTGGTTGTCCACCTCAGCTACCATATAAGATGGTATAAAGATGTGGTAAACAAATGTGGTAAGAGTAGTATTATTCTATTCAAAATTACATATCCAATCCAATTCGCCAAATCATCAAAACAGATTGAAATTGGATTGGATTAGATTGGATTGGTCAATTTGGGCATATTGAGTTGGATCTTGTACACCCTACCTTAAATTGTCTAAGTTTTCTTGTGTTGTTTGCAATGATAAAATTCTTATCAAATTTACTTAGGTTTTTCACACAAGTGATTAGCAGTATAATTAGTAAATATGATACATGTAATATTACACTTTTTGTAATTTCGACGATTATTAACACTCCAGTGTAGAACATGTAGCACATGTAGAATAAAGGCCAGAAAATTCTATAATGTTTTTTTCTCCCTTATGACTCTTCGATCAATAAATTGTGTACTCTTCAGGTGTTGTTTTGCAGCCTCTTGAAGACAAATTTGGTTCATTAACTAAAATAAGATTGTTTTTTTCTTCGTTTTCTTGGAATTCAGTTGAAGGATCAACAAGGTTTCTATAATTTCCGTGAGAAAATCAACTGAGCTCTAAAGAAAATTGCGTATTGTTTGATGGTTAAACTATTGAAGTTGCACGTGGTAGCCAAAATGAGTTGACTACGAATAAGCCATGAATCATGTCATTGCATATGAATTTGTTTCCACTGTAAACACGGTATGTGACCAATTTAATAGTGGAATTAATCCTTATGAGCTAAATTAAACTTTAGGGCACTAACCCAACTAGCACGAAAAGCTCCATCATGCATCTTATAGGGGGCATATAGACCGCGTATGGCCAAAAGGCTCAATCACCTCCTAAAATCCACTTCCATCCTCTTTACAAGCCATACACCACTTAATTTGTCTATAAAAGTACCAATTTTTTTAATCAATCTTTGTGCTAATCATTTGGTCGTTCATGTTACTGAATGATGAGAGATACTTAATTACTATTAAGTTTCAAAGTTAGAATTATTATAAACTCAATTATCCCACTTTTTTCTTTAACCAAAGGCTATGGTTCTTGAGGAAAACTCTAGGACGGCGCTCTTGATTTTTTGTCGGCCGGCCATGGCTAAACCATTATGTTAAACAAGGATTAAAAAACCACATTAATTTTAAATAATATCTCATTAGCTCCAATATAGGAATTGCCAATCATTACTTTGGTAAAAAAAACAATGCTGCACTTGTAGCCCAAAAAGTTCACTCAACACTGAATGCTTTAAGTAGATATTTGAAGATTGAAATTACTTTTGGAGGTTTATTTTTTCTATTAAGAGAATCATGTATGGCCAAATAGATAACTGTGCATATATAATTTTAGAAAAGCGTTTTCTTGCAGAACTGTACTTATGTTGTCATATAGTAAGTTGAAATTACTCATCAGATTGATTCTTGTGCGCGTTTCATATTTGATCAACAACGTAGCAATGTGTGGTAAATTGCATTCCAAATGGGCCCGATAAATTTATTACTCTTAAACTTCTGTGCTCAGTAATTAAACAAAATAGAAGAATGGGTTTGAATTGAAGTGCTGCCCCCGACTGGTTTGTAAAAGGGGAAAGGCAAAGCTTAATGATGGCGATCATGGTGGGATGATTCAGCAGGATAGACAAGAGGGATCTAGTCACCACCGTAAGGCCATTACTTTGTGATAAAATAACAACACTATTCAACTGACAATAAAGACACCAGAAACAAGAAGTGCAATGGCACATGAAGAGCCGTAACAAAATTTTGTAAGACTATCAAGTCTATGATTATGAGACTTTTAACATAGCTTCCAGATGCCACCAAAACGTTCCCTTTTGCACCACCCTATGTGGAGCATGAAAAATCCATTGTTTTGTTAGAGTGAGTTTCCTTCACCCCCGCTCTATTCTTGAGTAGATCTTTTGATTCTATCTTCAATCAAATTTAAACAAACGACCTCTCCCAACTAGGACGACAATTTTATAATTTTTTTTATCCAAGCCATATTGACAGAGGGGAATTCGAACACAAACAACCACCGTAACGTCAATCAAATTTGAACACATGACCTTTTCTTTCTGCATACTACTAATATTTATTTACCATTCTACATGTTGATACTAAAATGATATTTGGTCATGATAATATCCACTCAATGTGAATATGTTTAACCATATGCATCGTAAAGTTGTAATTTAGTACTTAGAATTAGTCAATTACTTTCCTTTAAATGTTTAAAATTTTCTTTTCTTTTCAATTACATAAAATTGAATTGAGCGATTATAAGAACAACGAACATTCTATGAAGTATCAACGCCGCATGGAGTTTGACCCCAAAAAAAAGGCCTAAGCCCAATAAAGTATGATCAATGAAATTATTTCACACCTATCTTGATGTGGTACATTTGTTTTTCGGATATAGGAGCGTATGATTCCTTTTTTTTTTAATTAGATTAATTTATTTACTCAACTTCTCTTCAGAATTTATAAACTATAGCTACAATTTATGTACAATACTGTACTGTACATAAAATAGTTTCAGAAAAGAAAAAAATTATATATAGAGCTGCAGTTGAGGGATCCTTTATTTGAGAGACACTCTTAAAAGGCCCACTCCGTATTGTATTTCACTAATACATAAAATACTAACAGAAAAAGATACTAAATTTCGGGTTAATTGCAATATTAAAAAAAATGGGGTTCACAGGCTAAGCCCCAAGTTGATGGTAACGGCCCAATTGGGCTCAGTTGGGCCAATAGAAATAGCATAAGCGCAAGTCATTTAGCTACCAAGCTTATGCGGTAGCACATTGTTAGAATTGGTTTTCAATTTTCTTTAGTTAAAGGTATCAAGGGAAAGATATGGGTAAAATGAACGATGAAGA